GCGTTGACAACCTCTATCTCGGCAAGGTCAGCCCACCACTTGTAGGTGCGATTCAGCAGTCTCTGAGTTTCCTGCCCTCTACCCTCTCTCGCAGCCTCTAGGGCCGCATCTAACACTCCGAGAACAGGGTCCCAGGAAGGGGGTTCCCGAATGGGGCCGATGGCCCTAAGGGGAGGAAGGGGGGGGGGGCTTCCGAAACTCAAGCACTTTGAGCTGAGCGGGGGAAGGGAATAACTCAAGATCGACAGGAGAGTGGGGAGTGAGGGGGGAGTTGCGATTTACAGTCACCTGCCTGACGACCTTGGAGATGCCGGCTGAAACCGCGAAGAAGTCCGAAATTTTGAGGCCTCCTGTGCTGCGGAGCGTGTGGCCTCCGTCGGTCGGGGTGATCATCTGGCCTCTGAACTCGGACACAGACTGGGATTGTTGACATTCTCCAGGCGTCGTATTGAAGTCGCCTCCCAAGATGACTGGGAGGTCAGAGTGGGAAAGTCCTGCGCCGATTTGCGACAATAGCTCCACGTTGCGCTCAGACAAACCCCCGGCATCATGGAGATAAGCTGATCTGACGAGGACCTGAAAACCTCCTGGAATATGGACCACACAAGCTCCAGCACGATGTGGGAACAGTACGAAGCCCGACGACAGCGTGTGAAGCCCAAGGTAAGATCTAACCAAAACTGCGACACCTCCTGACGACCCCGTGCCCTCCCCTCGCGCTGCCGCCGCCCAACGCGACTTCCAGCCACGACGGAAGAGCCGCCCTGATGCTTTGAGATGTCAGCTTCTGAACAAAGGTGATGCTCTTGGACAAGCAACACATGCGCAGTAGTCATTGGCAGCCACTTGAGCTTAAGCGACAGCCAGCCTGAAACATTGCAAGTCTGGACGCAGAGAGAGAAGTCCTCAAAAGCAGGAGGAGCAGGTGGCACAAGAACCTCCCACAGGAACTCCGAAGGCCACATCCTTGCTAAGAAGAGGGAAGGAGCCAGACTTGAGTGAAGGAAGGTGCTGGAAACTGCTGCTACCCTGGAGAAAGATCGGGGACAGCATTGGCAGACGCAGCAGTCTTGGCCTTCTTCGCTGCTGCCTCGTTGCGCGAAGAGACTCGCTCCCTCGATTCTGCCGAGACAGCCTCTGACTGCGCCTCCTTCCAGGCACGCAAAAAGTTATCGAACGCATCCGAGTCCTCAGGATTGACCTGAGGCATTGCTTCATCCACAGGCGCGCCAGTCCCCGCCCCAGCCCCTGCGCCCGCCCCCCCACCCACATCAGCATCAGCACCGCCAGCTCCGCTGGCAGGCTGTGGCCCTTGGGCGAAAGACTCACAGCTTGGCCTGAGCTTGGCCCAGCCCTCGCGGATCGCCGCCAGGTCGCCCGACGCCAACACAGAGTCGAAGTCGGACACGTGGTCGTGGAATTCCGCCGCATGAGGGGGCGGCGGGAGGTCGGCAACCTTCGCCGCCAGCTCGAGGTAGCGTGCCTTGAGCTGTGCCTGCCGTGCAGCAGCCTCAGCCCGCTTCTCGTTGAGTTCCTTGAGACGCGCCTGAGCGTCACATATTTGCTTGTCGAGAGAGAGACCACCATGCGTTCGTTCTTCTCCATGGCCTGCTGCGCCTCGTTGGCCTGCTGACGAAGAGGACGAGCTTCGGACTGACGAGAACGAATGGCTGTGGCTGAGGCTTCGACAGAGCTGTCCACCGCCGCACGCTCGGGGAAGTCCTCCTTGAGCTGGCCCATGAGCACCTTGATCTGCGACAGCAGCGACAGGGGATCCGATGGGGAAGCCAGCATGCCGCCTCGACCGCCGCCACGTCCGCCAGCCCCTTTTCCCCCGCCGCCGATGCCACCTCCTCCGCCAAAACTGCCTTTGTAGCCTCCCTTGCCGCCGAGAGAACCATGGTTCCCGCCCTTGAGCACGTTGGGGGGAGATCCATCCTTCCACACACCAGCAGGAGAAGGCTGATAACCATAAAACACTTGCGGTATAGGCGCCCAGCAATTCGCACACCACTTGTACCACGGCTTGTTGCACTTCGCAGCGCCACACGCGAGACACTTCGCCCCGACGCCATCATGCTTCGGTCCCATGAGAGACGCGTGCGAGTGCAAAACGACAGAACGAGCCAGAATGACCCGCTAGCGCAATGTGCCGTTCTGAAGTATACGCTAGCAAGCCCAAACAACTTGGGCCATAACGGCTAGGAGGAGGAGGGGGAGGAGGAGGAGGAGGAGGAGGAGGAGGAGGAGGAGGAGGAGGAGACAAGCCTTCTTCTCTACGAGAGGCGCCCCCTCGAAATACCGGCGCCCCCACGGGCTTGCCATTCGGTCGAGAGTACCGCTCTGGAACAACAAACTGCCCTGCATCCTTCTTTCGGGGAGCGAGGGATGTCAAAAGGCATGTTCATATAGCTCGAGTAGGGAGCCAGCGAGATCTGGACGGTTCCTTCGAAGGGCTTATGCGACACGTTCTCCTCCTCCTCCTCCTTCTCTTCCTCCTCCTCCCTCCTCCTCCTCCTTCTGCTCCTCCTCCTCCTCCTTCTCCTCCTCCTCCTCCGCCTCCTCCTCCTCCTCCATCTCCTCCTCACCTTCCCCCCTCCTCCATCTCCTTCCCCTCCTCCTCGGGTCGCCTGTGGCCCTGGGGGAAACTGTGCAGCGAGATCTTTCGTTTGATCAAACAACTGCCCCACCCGTTTCAGTTTTGCACGAGCTTGCACTTCTGGTCATGCGCGCCGAAGATGTCCCAAGCGAGAACCTCATTGAGAATTCGAACCGACCTCCATCCCTGTAGCTGTTTCAAACTTGGAAGGCGGATGTGCACGACGCTCGGGCGAGACCCCCCTTTTGGAACATGAGCCGCCGTCCAGTCTTACCACATATATCTTTCAGACAGATGTGCACGGCGCAGAGGCACGACCCCCAGTTCCAGAAGGAAGTTCCCTACATCCCTGCAGATTATCAATGCACATGTGACGTGCGTGGCGCTCCTCCTCCGTGCATTGCGGCCTTAAGTTGCATACAGCGTGTCCCCTGTTGCCATTCCGCCGGGGCAGTCACCCTCTGCCCAGCTACCGACGCAACCATGATGTGCGTGACGCTGAGGCGAGGCCCTTTCTTGGCTGTGGACTTCAGGCTTCGGAGGAGGAAGAGGAGGAGGAGGAGGAGGAGGAGGGAGGACGAGGATGATGAGGATGATGATGATGATGATGATGATGATGATGATGATGATGATGATGATGATGATGATGATGATGATGATGATGATGATGATGATGATGATGATGATGATGATGATGTGATGATGATGATGATGTGATGATGATGATGATGATGATGATGAGGAGGAGGAGGAGGAGGAGGAGGAGGAGGAGGAGGAGAAGGAGGAGGCGGAGGCGGAGGTGGAGGCGGCGGCGGCGGAGGAGGAGGAGAAAGGAGCAGGAGCAGGAGGGAGAGGAGGAGGGAGAAGGGAGGAGGGATGAGGGAGGAGGAGGAGGAGGAGGGAGGAGGGAGGAGGGAAGAGAGAGGAGGGGGAGGGAGGAGGGAGGAGGGAGGAGGGAGGAGGGAGGAGGAGGAGGGACGAGGGAGGGAGGAGAGAGGAGGGGAGAGGGAGGAGAGGAGGAGGGAGGAGGGAGGGAGGAGGGAGGAGGAGAGGAGGAGGAGGAGGAGGGAGGAGAGGAGGAGGAGGAGGAGGAGGAGGAGGAGGAGGAGGAGGAGGAGGAGAGGAGGAGGAGGAGGAGGAGAGGAGGCGGAGGCGGAGGCGGAGGCGGAGGAGGAGGAGGAGGAGGAGGAGGAGGAGGAGGAGGAGGAGGAGGAGGAGGAGGAGGAGGAGGAGGAGAGGGAGGAGGGAGGAAGGGAGGAAGGAGGCGGAGGCGGAGGCCGAGGAGGAGGAGGAGGAGGAGGTGGAGGAGGAGGAGGAGGAGGAGGAGGAGGAGGAGGAGGAGGAGGAGGAGGATTCTGATGATGATGATGATGAGGAGGAGGAGGCGGAGGCGGAGGCGGAGGCGGAGGCGGGGGAGGCGGAGGCGGAGGCGGAGGAGGAGGAGGAGGAGGAGGAGGAGGAGGAGGAGGAGCAGGACCAGCGTAAACCCAAGATGCGTCAGTGATGCTGCAATTCGCCCTCCCGTCCCGAACCCCCTCCTCAAAGCCCTACACGCTTTTCTTTGCTTCCTTCTGGCGAAGCAGGAATGTGAAGAGGTGTGATCATACGGTTCAACGGAGTGCCCAGCGAGACCCGCAGGTCGACGAAGGACTGCCCACCAATGGAATTCTTGCACTTGTGGTTATGCTTATCGAGGAAATCTCAAGCGAAAGCTCCATTTTGGAAAGGATTCGCCCTCCCTCTGTGCAGCTGTTACGCATGCTCAAATGTAAGGTCGTTTGATTCCTGGAAGTCCTGAGCGAGAGCCCCATGTCGAGAAACGGCGCCGTCTTCCATCCCCGCTGCTAGCTTGTATGACGAGTGTGCGCGGCGCTAAAGGAGAGCCACATCATGAAAAAGAGCCGCCCTCCATCTTTGTCAATCTTGCGCGCTTGTAGAAGAAATATGCGCGATGCTCAGGCGAAACTCCATGTTGAAAATGTTTGCGTCCTCTATATACTTATGCTGGTTGTAAGTTTTACGACGACAGCGCGCGACGCTGAGGTGAGAGCCCCATTTTTCAATTTCCCCCCATCTATCCCTGTAGATGGTGCTGCCTTTGAAGACGAATGTGCGGGTCGCTAGGGTGAGAGCCCCATTTGAAAGCGGCCCTACCCTCCACCCGTGTAATTGTTGCAAGTTTCAAGCTTCAGGATCATATATGTCGAGGAAGTCTCAGGCGAAGCGCCGGGTCCGCCCTGCCGACTCGTTTGGGGGCGCGACAGGGAGGAGCTCTCTATCAGGAATGGAGGTGGAGGAGGAGGAGGAGGAGGAGGAGGAGGAGAAGGCGTGGGGAAAGAAGGGGGGAGGGGCGGGAGGAGGACATGGTGGAGGCTTGCGTGGGCCGGCGGCCACTTCGGAGGTGCTGCCTGGCGCTTCGGAGAATGCGCCGCACGGCCCAGTGGGTCGCGCTGGCGCGCAGCCACCGCTGCGGGGCAGCCCAGGAGCGGCGGCCGGAGCCCTGGCTGGGCATTGCATTTTTTAATTATAGATTTCAATGTACATATGCATACACATAAAATTTATATTTTTGGCACGGGGCTGGGCGTCGTTGCGAAAATCCACGATCGAAGGTTTCTGCCCATTGGGGCCTTTGCTGGGCTCTGGGGCCACGAAAAAACAACTCAGGATGAGAGGCTGGTGTCCAAGAAGTGGTAGAGATCTCTGGGGATTCCCGGAGACCTGGAAGTCGCAATATTTTTTCGCGCTGGGCGTTTTCGCCCGCATTCGGGGCTCGGGGCCAAGGCAGATCGGGTACAGTTCGAGGCGTGTCGCACAGAGATGGGGCCTAGGGCTCTTGTCGTGATTTTCGCGAAGTTGGTTATCACGACGTCGAGTACCAGGGGGAGCGGGCAGCGCTTCTTCCGGCACGAAGTCTGCCGCGTGGAGCCCGTTTCGGCTCCGGTCCCAGGCCCTCTCCTCGATATTGTGACCGCTTCCAGTGCCGGGGGCACGGGGCGGGCGGCGCTTTCCGAAGCTCGGGAGGAACGAAACAGGGGACAGGAAGAGTGGGGACGAATTCTGACAGTCGGCGGCGCGCTGAGGGGGGAAGTGAGAGGGGGCAGGCCTTCTCAGGAGGCGGCGCGGCTTCTCAGGAACCCTCCGGCCTTCTGAGAAAACTTCTGCGTCTGCGGAGAAGGCTTAGAAAGCTGCCGCTAAAGCCAGTGGCCTTCTGAGCCTTCTGAGAAGGCCCGTCCCCTCTGTCCTTCCCCCTGGGCGCGCTGCCTAGACTGAAATTCTTCTCCACATTGGACACGGCTCGCTGTCGGTGTCGCCGCGGGCTTTGTCCGTTTGGGGCACAGAGGTGCCTGCCCAATTGCGGTCGCTGTCGCTTCGAGGCAGCATTTGTTGCTGGGCATCGTCCTCATGTTGGTCCATCTCGCTTTCGATACGGGCGTGCCAACCAGCCACCTCTTGGTCTTCCTGCTTGGGCTCTCAGTTCGGATGCCATGGATGGAAGTCTTCTCACGAAAGCGACACGACGGATTTTCGTTGAGTGCTACCCCTCAGAGCGATGCGCCGATGCGCCGATGCGCCGTCACCTGGCACCTGACTACCCCCCACAGTGATGCGAAGCAGGCACTTCTCCTTCGATGTAATTCTGCTGATTGCGAAGTATTTCGACCAGTGGTGGCGAAACTGGTACTGCTGCTTCCGAAAATGCCCACGCGCGTTTTGCGCATAGCTGCTTCGTGCGCACTCCCTCCAGTGGGTTTGGGGGATTTGCGGTGCAAGAGATCGTCGGTACTTCCCCTGCCCCTGGGTTCACAGCAGGAGTGAGTTCGAGCAGCATTCGCAGCTTTCGTCTCCAATGGTTTCCCTGCTGGCCCCCCCGTGCCACTTGTGCTCCCCACAGGGGGTGCCCATGAACGCCTGGGATCGCTCTGCAATGCCTGGAGTGGGCCTGCGGGCGTTTGCGCGCGCCCGCGTGCGCTCGCGTGCGCCTGCGGGCGCTTCGGAACGCTGGGGGGGGGGTCTGCGAGCACTTGTGGGCCACGCGCGTGCAGGCGCCCGCAGGGCCCTCAGTGGGGGACCTGGGCGGCTGGTCCCGCCGCGCCGCTGATTCCTGCGGCGGGGACCTGCGCCGTCCGCACTTTTCTGAGCCCTGGCTCGCCCAGAGGCCCACCAGAGAGTGTTCTGAGAACCCTCTGTGGTTTGCACGAGACGTCCCCCCCCCCCCAGGAGGCAGAGGAGGCCGAGGAGAAGGAGCGGGCACCCGCCGGCCGAGCAGCTGGGCGGGCGCGGTAGCGCGAGAGGGCTCGGGCGAGGGGCCGCACAGCGAGCTCCGCGGTGCCGAGGGCCTCCCAGCGTGGGTCCGGGCAGGCGGCGTCGGAGGAGCGCGCCGCATCGCGGACGCACCGCCGATGCATCGGCGGTGCATCGCTGCAGTGGCGATGGCGTCGGCGGCGTCGGCGCGGAGCCCGCCGCATCGCGGACGCACCGCCGATGCATCGGCGGTGCATCGCTGCATTGGCGATGGCGTCGGCGGCGTCGGCGCGGAGCGCGCCGCATCGCGGGCGCACCGCCGATGCCTCGGCGATTCTCGGCTGCCCCGGTGCGCCGGTTGTGAAACGCAACGCGTGCCGTGTTCAAGACGTCCGTACCGACACGCCGCGTGTCGGCTTGGCACGTGTTGGGCCGCGTTTTGGCGAGCGCACCGCGCCAGACGCACGTTTTTTGTCTACGTATTGAGCTCTGTGCCAACACGCTACGTGTCGCGTGTTGCGTATCGGGGCAGCTAAGATCGTGCCGCATCGCGGACGCACCTCCGATGCATCGGCGCTGCATCGCTGCATTGGCGATGGCGTCGGCGGCGTCGGCGTGGAGAAGATCGGGCTTGACGTCGAGCCGCACAGAACCGATGCCTCGGCGGTGCGGCGCGGGCCCTCCGGCCCCATCTGCTCGGGACTTCAGAGATCCGACCATGTGTTTTTTTTCGGTGTCAGCGCGCGGCGCAGGAGTTCCCGACCTCTCTCGAGTAGGAGATCGACTACATCGTGGAGTTACCCCAGACCTTGAAATGTTCGTCGAGTCTACAGACGACACGTATCCATGGAGCATTCTACGTGTCTAGCTCGTAGATTCGACGAGCATTGTTTGGGGAAGTCAGTTCTGTAGCCGATCTCCTACCCGACCCCTTCCCCAGGGGCAGGCTTTCGTCCCGGGCCCATGTCCTTGATGGCCCCGCAGCCCGACGTCGGGCCTCAGGGGCCGAAAACCTGGAGGAGAGCACGCCCGGGACTCAACCAACCTTTTCGCGTCGGCGGCTAGGCATGGGACGTCTGCGCTGGCGATGGATCTTGCCCAGACGGGGATGCCGTTAGAGCAGGGCTCAACAAACACATCGGATCGAGGTGGAGCTCTGGGCCCCCCTTTGGGAGGCCTGGAGTGATGGGCCTGTTTTCCATCACCACCGCTATACGTTGGAGGGGGGAAGGAGGTGGACGATGGAGGAGGAGGAGGAGGAGGAGGAGGGAGGAGGAGGGAGGAGGAGGAGGAGGAGGAGGAGGACGAGGAGGAGGAGGAGGAGGAGGCGGAGGCGGAGGAGGAGGCGGAGGCGGAGGCGGAGGCGGAGGAGGAGGGAGCGGACGGAGGCGGAAGCGGCGGCGAGGAGGAGGAGGAGGAGGAGGAGGTGGAGGAGGCGGAGGAGGAGGAGGCGGCGGAGGCGGAGGCGGAGGCGGAGGAAGGAGGAGGAGGAGGAGGAGGAGGAGGAGGAGGAGGGGGAGGAGGAGGAGGAGGAGGAGGAGGACGAGGAGGAGGAGGATGCGGAGGAGGAGGAGGAGGAGGAGGAGGAGGCGGAGGCGGAGGCGGAGGCGGAGGAGGAGGAGGAGCAGGAGAGGAGGAGGAGGAGGAGGAGGAGGAGGAGGAGGAGGAGGAGGAGGCGGCGGCGGCGGCGGGGAGGAGGAGGAGGAGGAGGCGGAGGAGGAGGCGGAGGAGGAGGCGGAGGAGGCGGAGGAGGAGGCGGAGGAGGCGGAGGAGGCGGGAGGCGGAGGCGGAGGTGGCGGAGGCGGAGGAGGAGTCGGAGGCGGAGGAGGAGGAGTTGGAGGAGGAGGAGGAGGAGGAGGAGGAGGAGGAGGAGGAGGGAGGAGAGGAGGGAGGAGGAGGGAGGGAGGGAGGAGGGAGGGAGGGGGGAGGGAGGGAGGGAGGGAGGGAGGGAGGAGGGAGGAGGAGGAGGAGGAGGAGGGAGGAGGAGGAGGAGGAGGAGGAGGAGGAGGAGGACCCCCTCCCCCTCCTACACATGGTGGTGGCGGTGGAAAAAAACAAGCCCACCGTGGAGGTGCAGCCCGCCGAGACGAGCTGCCACAGGCAGTGCGCGGGCCTGCGTGGCCCGACGAGCGGAGCTCCGCTGCTGACGCCCAGCCGCCGCCAGGCTTGAGCGCCGCGCCCGCGGGAGGGTCTCGCGGCGGAGCCGACCGAGACGCGCCGGCCGGGGCAGTGCACGGGGAGGCTCGTCGGGGCTCAAGTCATAGGCGACGATAGGGGCGAATACGTCAGGGGAGAGCAATACATGTGTTCAGGTGCGCCGATGATCAATGTCTTCGAAAAGGCTCCCGGGCGAATACGTGTGATGCCCGCCCCTGGGCTATTCGCCCCTATCGTCGCCGCCGATCAAGGGTGAAGTCGGGCCCGTCCCTCTACAGGAGGAGTATTGAAAAATTGTCAAACATATAGTCTGGGGACGATTTTTCGAGCATTTTTAGGCAATTTGTGGATCTTTGTTTGGACTCTTTGTCATTTATCGTCCAGAATCCGCCTGTATGGGTTACACGCCCGACCTAACTCGAGGGACGGGGGTCAATGCAAAAGGGGGTCAACCAGAGCGCCGGATCTTGCAGTATCCTTCATGGCCAGGGTCGCCCTGACCCAGGTTTGGGTGCAGGACCCTGCAGGATCCTGCAGCATCTTGTCGGATCCTGCACGGGCTGCGTGACTGTCTGACTGCTTCGGCCTCGGAGGCATGTCAAATCGCTCCAAGACGGCCCACGAGGCCCCGAAGAGGGCCCGAGACGGCCCAGGAGGCCCCCCAGACAACCCATTTTGTGCCCAACCAGCGCCCCCAGAGGGGGTCCAGGAGGGGGACCGCGAACCGATGCTTCGAGGTCTCTCGCCCTATAGAGGCCCCCCAGCAGGCACCCGGAGGCCACCGAGAGGCTCTGGACCGACCCGGGCCAGGAGGCTCCCCGAGCTCGGAGGAGAAGCAGCTCGGCGGCGCGCCCGGGGGGGCAGGGCAGAGCCCCGGGGGAGGCCCCTCGGGGAGGGCCCCCCCCCGAGTCGGGCCCATGAGGGCCCCCCCGAGAGCGCCCGGGAGCCTCCCGGAGGAGGGCCCCCTGAGAGCGGCCAGAGGCGCCCCGAGAGGGCACCGAGGCGGCCCGGGGAAGGCCCCGAGGCGGCCTCCCGAGGGCGTCAGACGGGCCAAGAGGGGGGGGCGGGCCTCCAGAGCCACGGGGGGGGGCTTCTCGGAAGGCCAGGGGGCTGCTGGGAAGCCCCTCCAGCTGCCCAGGCATTGGGCGTCTCGAACAAAAATCGAGACGGAGGTTTCTCGTCGTTTTCGGCCCCTCGAGGCCCTGGCCGGGCCTCGGGACCGTCAAGGAGCGACTCGGGATGAGAAGCTGGTCCTGGGGAAGTGGTCGGGAGGTCGGGGGCCCGTGTCTCGGAAAAATCGAGACGTCGGATGTCTGGGTTCTGAGAAGGCCTGCCCCTTCTCGCTTCCCCTATCGGCGCGCCTCCGAGAAAGATCACACAGACCCTCAGGTCTGGGCGTCGCAAAAAATATCGCGACGGCCAGTTGCTCGGTTCAGCCCTCCAGGGCCGTTTCCCGTCTACAGGGGCGTCGAAAAGCGGCCCGGGGTGAAAAAGGGCCCCCGTGGCAGGGCTCATTCCTAATTATCCCCCCGCTTCGACTCGGTTCGATTCCGACGGATTCCGATGCCGATTCGATGCGACCTGTGGATTCCGATTTGGGTTCCGATGTCTCAATGGAGGTCCACCAGCCTGCCGATTTACGCCGATTCGACGCTTCCCGACTCGGCTGCCGATCTTCGCCGATCCGATCCATGTCGATCGCCGATGCGACTTGTTGGTTCGATTCTGGGCTCCCCCGCCCTGGGGAAGTGGGCGGAATCCCCCGCGGCCCACGTCGCGAAAAAAAATAGTGCAAGGTCGGGGGAGATGGGATCTCGATGCCCCGCCCTCGTTGTCGCCTTCTTGCGCATCCTGGGGGGCCCCCGTGAGAGAGGTCTGGGCAGTCCTGGGATCCGACGTCGCGCAGCGAGGCAACGTCGTGAGGAGTCACGACCCGGAGGCCTGGACCGCATCCTTCTGTGCCGCCCCACGAGCTGGATCGAGCTGCGCTGCAGGGGGGCTCGAGGCCAGGCGGAGACGCCGCCTGGTGCCAAAGAAACGGCGACGCCAGGATCGGCATAGCTTTTTTTGGGCGGCGCCCACGAGGGGGTGGCGCGAGGGGGGCAGGGGCGGCCTTCTGAGAGAAGGCGAAGGTGCTTGTCAGAAGGCCCCCTCTTCCTCCCCCCCCCTCCTCCCCCCTCCTCTTTCTCCTCCTCCTCCTGCTCCTCCTCATTTCTGCCTCCCCAGAGGCGTGGCTCGACGAGCGGGCTCCCGCTGCTGATCCGCGGGGAGGGGAGGAGCAGCCCGCTCCTCGCCGCGGGACGGCGTCCCCGCCCTGGTGGTCCGAGGGCCAGGGCGCGCAGGACGAGTGGCCCGAGTCGTCCGAGGGCGAAGACGGGGAGGGCGACGACTACGGGGACGAGGAGGGCGAGGAGCCCTCGTGGTGGAGCGAGGGCGAGGAGGAGGAGGAGGAGGAGGAGGAGGAGGAGGAGGAGGAGGACGAGTCCGCGTGGTGGGGCGAGGCCTCCGGGGCTGCTCACGCCTCGGCGGGAGCAGGGACGAGGGGGAAGACGGGCGCGTGGTGGTGGGACGAGGGCGAAGAGGCGGCGGCGGAGGAGGAGAAGACGGAGGAGCTCCATCCCGAACGGGAGGAGACGCCCGATCTTCGGCCAGCGTCGGAAGCAGAGGCAAAGAGGGTGAAACCCTCCTGGGGCACCGGCGAGGAGGGTGAGGAGGAGCTCGATCCCGAAGGGGAGATGCAGCCAGATCCTGACGCAGCCCTCGGAGGAGAGGTCGGGGAGGGGAAGTCCTCGGGGTGGGGCGAAGGCGTAGAGGACCAGGGAGGCAGCGTTCCGGCACAAGCCGACGTGGGCGCCACCACAGCCGGTGCCTTCCCGTCGGCGCCGAGCACTATTCCTTCGCAGGGCGTGCCAGGAGCAGTGTCAGAGGTACAGTACAGCTCGAGCGCTGCCGCCTCGCAGGGCGTGCCAGAGGCACCGCCAGACTTTCAGTCGAGCTCGAGCACCGCGCCCTCGCAGGCCGCGCCAGCGACATCGCCAGGAGTCCAGCCAGGCTCGATCACGCCCTCGCAGAGCGTGCAGGAGGGCGAGGCGGGCGACGACGGCACGGCCCCGGGCGGCGGACCCCCTGAGGATCAGGTCAGCATCTCTGGCACCGCAGGCGTCGCGCCCGGCAGCGCCTCGACCCCGTACGCCGAGACGCCTGCAGACCCAGGCATCCGACGGATTGATGTCTTCGATACGGCGGCATTCCGCCAGAACGTTTTTCGTCCTGCACCCATTCGGCCACGCGCGGTGGGGGTAGGGGGAGGGGGGCAGGCTTCCTGGAAGCAGCCCCGCTTCTTGGACGGCGCGGGCCTTCTCTGTAGATGCAGGGCTGGCGCCCTCTGAGAAGCAGCCTCCCAAGAGGCCTTCGCACCTCCCCCCTACGCGCCCCCTTGTGCGCGCCGCGGGCCCACTGTTGGCGGCCCTGGGCCCGAGAGCGCCCTCCGGGGGGCGAGGTGAAGGAAACGCGCCAGGACCGAGGAGCAAAAAGCGAGGCGAGGGTGACGACGACGGTGAGACGAAGGCGAGAAGGAAGATTATAGGGGAGCGAAAATTGGCATCAGCATAACAACTCTGAGGTCCGCGCGGATTTTTCGCATCCGCGCTGGACTCTCCTGGCGGCGCCTCCGGCGCCGCCCCAGGCGCGCTCCGCGCGCAAGGGAGGGGGGTCCGGCGCGGGTCCGAGGAGTCCGCGCGGACCTCCGAGTTTTGTGTTTATGCCATCCTTCGTTCCCCCAAAGATGGAGACGAAGGAACGACGGGATGACGATGGATGGCAGACATCAATCCGCCCGAATTCTGGGGATGCCCAGGGGCCGTGGCGGCGGAGGCCGAGGACGCCCTCGGCGCGGAAGGTGCCGGCGCGGGCGGCCCCCCTGCTGCCCCGCCCGCCGCAGAGGCGGGGGGCGCGGCGATCGAGGGCGCGGCGAGCGCTGGCGCCGACGAGGGCGCCGCCGCGGTGCCCGCCGAGGGCGCCGGGCCTGCCGCCGAGCAGGCGGCCGCGGTGCCCGAGGGCGCCGGGCCTGCGGCCGAGCAGGCGGCCGCGGTGCCCGCCGGGGCGCCGGGCTGCCGCCGAGCAGGCGGCGCGGTGCGCCGAGGGCGCCGGCCTGCGGCGAGCAGGCGGCCCGGTGCCCGCGAGGGCGCGGGCCTGCCGCCGAGCAGGCGGCCGCGGTGCCCGCCGAGGCGCGGGCCTGCGGCCGAGCAGGCGGCCGTGCCCGCCTGCGCCGGGCCTGCGGCCGAGCAGGCGGCCGTGGCGCCCGCCGAGGGCGCCGGGCCTGCGGCCGAGCAGGCGGCCGTGGCGCCCGCCGAGGGCGCCGGGCCTGCGGCCGAGCAGGCGGCCGTGGCGCCGGCCGAGGGCGCCGCGCCTGCCGCCGAGCAGGCGGCCGCCGGCGCGGGGAGCGCGGTCGCAGCGGCGCTTGGCACAGGCGCGCCTCCCGCGGGCTGGAGGGGTTCGACAGTTGAGGTTCAAGGATGCTTTTGTCCACAGTTCTTGCTTGAGGTCCAGGCGCCGCAGAAAGAGAAGTCGCGGAGGCCGTTTTTTCGTCAACCCGGCCTCTGAATGCCGTTTCTGGGTTCTGGCACCGCCGAGAAACGACTGAGGATGCAAAGCCGGCCCCTGGGAAGTGGTCGAGGTTCCATGGGGCCCACGTCGCGAAAGTCTTGCGACGTCGGGGGTGAGAGTTGTGCGCTCTCAGGAAGTATTTACTTTCATATTATGTGCGTATGTGCATCCTCTTTGATTTTTGGCTTTCCTCCCCCGCCGCCTTCCTCCTCCGCCTCCTCTTCCTCCTCCCACCCCCTCCTCCTCCTTCTCCTCCTCGTCCTCCATTCCGTTTCCTTATAGATAACTCCTCCCTGTCGCACCCCGAGGCCAGTCGAAAGGGCGGGTCGGGCGTTTCGCTTGAGACGTCCTCACCATTTATGGCTCTGACGCAAGACATGGGCAACAGCGTCACAGATGGAGGGCGGGTCGTTTTTAAAATGCGGCTCTTCCTCCAGCACTGCACGAATTCGTTGAAACATCTACGTACAAGAGTTTCACGGATCGAGGGCGGGTGGTTTTCAACATGTGGCTCTCGCTTTAGCCACGCGCCGTTTTTGCATTTTGCAAGAAAGTCACGGATTGGAAGCGGGTCGTTTTCAAAATATGGCTCTCGCCTTAGCGCCGCGCACACTCATTTCATACCTTTGCAAGAGCTTCATGGATTGAGGACGGGTCGTTTTCAAAATGTGACTCTCGCTTTAGGCCGCGCACAATTCGTTTGACAAGTTGCGAGAGTTTCGCGGATCGGGGTCTGGTCGTTTTCAGAATGTGGCTCTTGATTTAGCGCCGCGCACGTTCGGTTTAAACGTTGCAATGGTTTTGCAGATTGAGGGTTGGTGGTTTTCACATTGTGGCTTTAGCATTAGCGCCGCGCACATTCGTTTTAACAGTCTGCAAGAGTTTGACGGATTGAGGGCGGGCTGTTTTCGAAATGTGGCTCTCGCCTTAGCGCCGCGCGCACTCGTTGTAAACATTTGCAAGAGTTGCACGGGTTGAGGGCTGTTTATTCTTACATGTGGCTCTTGCTTCAGCGCCGCGCACACTTGCCTTAACCGTTCGCGGCAGTTCCACGGCTTCCCATGGTCAACGTGCAAGAATTTGTGTTTTGTAAGGATTCAGAATTGTGAGGGCGCAACAGTTACGTTGGTTCGCGGTGTCGAAGTCCCAGGAATGAGATGCTGGTACGATTCCGGATCTTCAAGACTCAACAGTCATGTTAATTCGTGGCGTTGGAAACTTGAGAACGATGTTTTTGCACGTTTTAGGGTCTTCGAACGGTTGTCTCCCGACGAGGCAGTTCCTTCAGTGGAATTGAGCTCTTGTAGGGGCCAGCGCAGAGGGAGCTTGGAGGGAGGGTTTATTCCAACATCGTTGATGGGTCCTTGGTTTACAGTGGTCTTCTTCTTCCTCCTCCTCCTCCTCCTCCTCCTCCCCTGAGGGCTTTGGCCCCTGAGGGCCCTGGTCCCCCCGCGCCGCCCTCGCAGGGCTGGTCCCGGCGGACCGAGGTCTTGCCGCGCCTCGCCTTCCATGGTTAGCGACCGCACTGACCGCCACTCCTGTGCAGCTTGGCACATTTTTTTCACCCTTTGGCTGCGTGTCGCTCCGCTTTGCGCTCCAGGGTGGTCACTTGCCGGGCACTCGCGGCTCACCGTAGCAAGTCCGAGAAAGCAATTTGTCGCCACGGCCGGATTCCCATCGAAATTGTTGACGCTTCGCGAATTCCCACCAGCCTGGCTGCGCTCCAGCGCCTATGAGCTGGTCGCAGCTGCAGCGTAACTCGGCGACCTTCGGCCGATACCCGCTGGGCGGCAGTGTACTGGCTCTTGGGCCTGCGTGTCCTCTTTCATCGTTGATTCCTGGCCTGTCACTGGTTTCGGAAACGATGACTGACACACCGGCCCCCCCCGGGCAGCGGTGTGGATCGTGGAGTGAGTGCTCTGTAGGTCCCTGCCGTTCCTCTGCCCCTGTCTTAGCCGACCCCGCGTACGGCGGTGGTACGGACTTCGCGCTGAGTGGTTCAGCCTTCAGCGTTGTCGCTTCTGTTCTCCTTGCCCGCTTTCGGCTAGGAGAGCTGCTCGGAGCTTCGCGCCGACAGGGCGATTTCTCCGTTGCACTCGCACTGCGGTCTGCTTCACTTCGGTGTGGCTGGCGCCTATGTGCGTTCGCCTTAATGCGGAACATTTTGCTCAGTGCATGTGCGCACCACGCATTATTGCTAATTCGCTTAGTTCGCGTCCCGGACTTTGCTCTCGCCGCCTGACCGTCGTCTCGCGGCCGCGACCGAAAAATATTTCCCACCAGCCCATCCAGAAACGATGCCCAGAGGAATTGCCTCGATCAGGGAAGCGGGCAGCACACAGATGAAGGGTCCCCCAGTGGAGGCTTCTTGGAGCGTCTTGGGGGCCTCTTGGCGGCCCCGGACGCCTCTTAGAGCGTCTTGGGTGCCTCGGAGAGCTTCTTGGGGCCTCTTGGGGGTCTCTTGGGGGCCTCTTGTGAATAGAACCCGTGTAATACCCTCATATATACTCCTTATCCTCACCTCTCCTGCGCCTGGCCGTTTAGGCTCAGGTATTGGGACATATCGATCAGACCTTTGATCGTGCAGGAGGGAAAGACATCCATCTATCCCTCCTTCCCTCTACCAACGGATCAGGGGTTCTGTGCCCTTGTACTTCAACCCCATTCACATTTTATCAGCCCTTTAAAGCTCACTGTTCATCGAGCCGCGCGTCGCGATCTCGCACGCGGCCTCGATGGAACCCAAGCGGCGCATGCCCCGTAAGGGGTCCATCGGGGCCTCGCGTCCGAGCTCTCCGACGCCGCGACGGCTCGGTGACGAGTTGGAGAGCCTTAGTGCGGACTGTGTTGGTGTCCCAGGTACCCCCCCCAGCTCCGACGGACCCGAGGCGCGGCTAGCTGCTGAACTTCGCCGCAGCGCCGCCCGCGGGGGGACAGGAGAAGGAGTAGGAACAGGCAGGAAGGAGTTTCATACGCCTACCTTCGATCCTCCATCTCCTCCTCAGTCGGGAGCAATCCCAACTGCGTCAGGCGAAAGCCTCACTGGTCCTGATACTCCAGGGCGCTTTCGCGCTAACCGCCGATGGACCTCAGGTGCTGGTACTCCCACCCCTGCGACCGTTCCTGTTGCGGAGCACGTAGCCACCTTCGAGGAACTCAGTAGACCAGTGGCGGCACAGCCGCAGACGCAGTACCCCAAGGTATCATCGGATGAGACACCACACACACACGGTCCTAGTCGCAGCTCGTCCGCGCGCAACCGTCGTGGGGCCCCGGGCCCATGCGGCGAGAGTAGGTCGAGCCCGCGTACAGCCTCTCAGAGGCCAAGTACTCCTCGCGAGAGGGGGCAGAGGGAAGCCTATGCTCCCCGCCTCTCCATCTCAGACGACCAGCTGGCGGAAACGTCCGCCGCAGGTGAAATCGCTGAGCTCGGAGACCAGGTTGAAACCTTCGTGTCCAGGCAATGCTCTGGACTACTGCAGAGCGTTCAGACGAACGCTGCCAATACTGCAGCCATACGCCAAGATCTTGACGGCGCCTTAGGGATCATCGATTCCAGGATTGCCGAAGATCGACGCATCATAGGCGAACTGCAGTACCAGGTTGATCGTGAGGTGTCACACTCAGGTGAACGAACGGCGATGGTCGAGAACCTGCGCAACTATCTTGCGCAGATGGAGCAACAGCTTGTGCTCGTACGCGACACAGGCGTTTTAGCAGTCAGGATCCTCCACGATGAGATCCACGACCAGCTCCGCAACCGACCAACACCAACCGAGGCCACCGACCTTGGCGACGTTCAGTCTCAGATCAATGATCTTCGATCCCACATAGACCACACTACGGCGACGCTTCGCAACGAAGCACACGCCAACTCGTCGAACCTGATCGACATGTTGCAGCGTACTGAGAGAGTCATCACTCAAAAGCTTGATGCGACCAACGCTGTCGTGCAGCCACTCGCTAACCGGATCTCTGATATCGAGCAGCGTTTTCCTGGCGTACAGGACGCCCTGGCAGAGTTGCGTGTCGGACGAGCCCAGACTGGCCAGCTGGATTCTCCTCCCACGGTTTACGATTTCGCCCGCCTCACTGACAGGTTGCAGGAGGTTGAGAAGGCGGCGGACCACGCGCAGTTGGAGCTCTCCCAGGTTATTCGTGAGAGAGATACTGAGAAGGTACGTGTCGAGGGGCACCTCGCACGTCTGGAAAGTGAGTTGGAGGCACAAGGCGCCCGTCTCCGAGCCTACGAGCAACGACTTGATCGGTACTCACAACGTTCTCGGGATACTGATGAGTACACGCGCCAAAAGGTGGCCCAAATACACGAAGACATGACGAGCTGGACGAATCAGCTGATCGACCACACCAACGACACCAGTCTCCACCTTCGACCTGCAACCGACCTGCACAGGCCGACGGCAGCGTCCGCCGAAGCACCACAAGCTCCTGCAGGACAACAACGACGTACGTCACCAGGAGCAGCCTCTGCGGCAGCTTCTGCACGGACACGCCATGTGTCTCCTGTGCGCACAGAACCGAATACTGACGGTGTACCGATACCCTCGCAACCATTGTCTGCGGTTTCGGCCAATACCACTACTCCTATCAAGGAGGCAGACACCGTCTGAGTCCCTGTCTTGCCTAAGATCACGCAGCTGCTCGAGTGGCAGCAAAAGGTATGGAAGAACTTTGGCGCCGCCTCAGGGCGGCCGTCCAAAGCATATGCTTTCCTATGCGTGGCTGAACAGCCCGAGTGTACCTTCGAGGACTTACAAGACAGTGGAGACTTTCAGAGTATCGATTGCAAACTCGCTACCGCTCTGAGCGACATCTTACCCTCAGACTTGCGCTACCAAATCA